TATGCTAGCCACGTAGGCGTAGACGTAGATAAAACGCTGTTAATTGTTTTCATTAGTCATAAGACAAAACACAAACGACAACACCGCAAAAACAGGAACACTCAACTGCAAACATCTGTATCTATATACATATATATACATATAAATAAATATATATATATATATATATGTATATATATAAATATATTACGGCGATTGCAAGACGTAGTACATCATCATGACAGGGTACGTTGTATTTCACGTATTTCATTTGCGGCCAAAGTTTATTGACTAGCGATGTGGGTAAACAATTCCACAACTGATCATTTAACGACATTCGTTTTCCAGCAAACAGTTTTGTAATTGATTTGCCAGTTTGACAAGCACTGCTGTTGTTATTGTGCTAGCCACGCTGGCTTGCGATTTTAATATTTTTATAAATTCTAGTTCTTTTTCGACTTTGAGCACGATTATTTAGATATTTACGCATAATATTATGGCCTAAGAAATATTAGAAACATACAAATATGTACATTATATATACGGTTGGGAACATACATCAAAAGTTTTGCACGTTCCCATTCACTTTTTGCCGTGCTCTGTCTGCCATGTGTGTGTGTGTGTGTGTGTGTGTGTGTGTGTGTCGTACATTTTGGTCATCTATGAATTGCCCAAAATCGCAGTTGGCTGTCAATGTCAGTGCGTCGCTGTTGGGCTTAAAAATTAGCATGCTTTGCTAGCACTCTCCACCCCAACCGCCGCCCTGCCCAGCGGGAGAGAAAGACCGGATCCTGTTGGCAGAGAAACGTGCGTTTGATATATTTATAGAGAGTGCGTTGAGCCGTCGACAACGCCATGCTAAACATTTTTATGTTTGGGGAATTCTCGCTGTGCTCAGCACATTGACCGTTCAACATTCTACTTCTGTTTCTGCTTCTTCTTCATCTTCTTCTCTTTTTATTGTGGTTGTTGTTGTAATTGGCTCAGAGCTTAGATCTGGCAGTGACGATCTCTTGGCAGGCAGGGTAAGCCTGTGGATTCGCCTGAAATGTGTTCTACGTGCGTGGCATTCGAAGAAGAGCAAAAAGCACGCGGAATAGCGTAAATCATTTTGTTTGCATATGTAAGACGTTTGAAAGCGAAATTCCACGTTATTCCACGTTATTCCACGTTATTTGAATCAATATTGCCAATAACTGGCACTTTTGCAATTACTCAGATGAAATAAACGCAATACACGTTCTCACTCAGACGCGGACTCAGGGTAAACTTTGTGAAATCCAGGAACCGGTCGTGAGTCCCGGTAGTGAATAAATACCTTAACTAGCTTTAACAAGTTTCATTAATTCTGTGCTGTGTGGTTCAATTAGCAATGCGGAAGCAACTTCGAAAAAGAATGTGCATCAGATCAATATAGTTGAAAGGGGAATCATCAGCAGCAACATGCGTGCGGCTTCCTCCATGTTAATAAACGCTTGAAAGTTGTTCCAAAAGTTGTTTAAAATGGGCAGTAACAGGGCCACTGGCCGCAGAACCACATCAGCAACAACAAAGATACATAGTGACATCGGGCATCGGGCAGACAGGTAAATCTGACAAGGCAATCAGTTGACCATCAGTGGCAAGAGTCAAGTCCAAGGTTGAGCATGGAGTGCCCTGGCTAATTTAATGGGGATTTTCTGCAATTTGCGAAGTGTTTTTGTTTTTTTGCGTTTTGTGTATCACAAAAAAGGGAATCAGTTAACACAAACCTGTTAATTATTACATGGGCTATTAAAATCGCTTTATATGGTATAATTTGCTTTCAAGCTTTAACAGTGCGTAGATCAATATGTGTATAACGGAAAACAGTTCCGCTATCTGCTATTCTCATTGATCTTTTGCTTTTGAGCTTTGGAAAGAACATGCAGAAGAGAACTTTCATTAAAGCTCCTTGAAATTTCGGAGCTGATTGTAAACAATTAGTCAGCTGTCGGCAGATGCATAAGAGACAAGCAATAAATAGATATATAAAAAGAAATAGAAAAGATTACTGTGTATATGCAAAATTAAGCACGCAAAATATGCATATATGTTTAGTTTTTTGCTGCATTCTCTTAATATTACAAAGTGCAATTGCTAATGGGATGTACTTTGAGGCTGTAAAAAAAACTGGTTATTACAAGAAATATGTTAATTTAATAATTCATTAACTTAAACGTCTAAAGCCGTAATTAAAATGTATATATATATGTATATGTATATTGTTTTCAAGTTTGTATGTATGCGCTTTTTTTGTTGTTTTGTTTTATTTGGTATTTCGCTGTGGTGCAGTGTTGCCAGCTTGTTGGACAAATCAACAATAACAGTTGCAAAAGAAGTAATAGCACAAAACGTATGTGAGGAAACTTACCAACAATTTGGCTTGGCTGTTGTTGTTGCTGGTGCTGCTGGTGCTGGTGCTGGTGCTAGTGGTAATGCTGCATGCTCCTTCTTACACTCTATTGAAACTGGAATTGAAAACCGCAAAAGCCACAACACAAATAACGCACGGCCAAGACAGATATAGCAGCTAACTATATGCTCATATGTATGCCTGAATGTGTACAATCAAACAAACATACATACTTACATACGATTATTTCACAAGAACTTTGTAAAAAATTAAAAATTTCGCAATTGGCTAATAAGCAGCGGAATTTAAGACCGTGCCGAGTGCAGACGCGTTAAAGCTTAACTTCTGAATGAAACTGAGCTGAAATTGAGTTGAGCGGCTGTTAAACGCGCATTGCGACGACGCGACTTCGAAATAAACTGCGGCTGCGGCTGTGGCTGCGGCTGTGGCTGTGGCTGCGGCTGTGGCTGCGACTGCGATTGTTGCTGTGGCTGCGACGCCAACGCCAGCGTTGGCACAGCCAGCGAAACTTTAAGCTGGACGGGCGAGCAGGCGCAGAACTTAAGCGACGACGAACTTAACAACAACAAAAACAAAAAGCTTCTGGCAGTGGAAACTTACGATACAACAACAGCAACAACAAAGTGCAAGCACAAAATGCAGCTGAAAACTTTCCATGAAGCGGCGACTAGTCAGTTGCCCGTTGCCCGTTGCCCGTTGCCTGTTGCCCCCTTAAGTGCATGTTGTTGCCGAAAGCAAACACACTAATTGGTGTGGCTCTGGCTCAGTGAGGAGCGTGCTCCTGTTCGCCAACCAGAGTGAAGTTCAAGTGAACTTTTTGTTTTTTGTTTTTTGATTTTTGCCTAGTATGTACATATTTAAGTTAGCTCAATTGAATTGCGTGCGTGTGGCAAACGAACTTGCAACGAAGTTTGCCGCAGCCAGACACAGATTATCTAATTGAATTGGAGTGATGCTCGAGTAGAGTGTACAATGCTTCCAGCATTAGCTGCAATGCTGCAGTACATCATATAACTCACACCCTCCCCAATCCACCTGACTGCATAATCATAATTGTGTTGTGTTAACTGGGCAAATAAAGGCGGACGGCTGCGGTTTGCGCTTGCACTTCGTCAAGGTCAAGTGGATGTCAAATATTTGGCATGCATGCGGCCGTCTGTCGCCATCAATTACGATTCTGTTTGCTAATAATTAGTATGTGAAGTAATCGCTAATTTTTATGTTAAGCCAACAAATTATTATTATGAACTTTTACTTAAATGCAACTACTCCTTTACTGTGCCCAGCCAAGCGGCAAACAACCTTCGTCACTTTTAAACTACTCAGCTTCGGTAGCCGATCGGCACTTGGACTGCATTTCGGTGCAATGTGCAAAGTTTTCATACTACTATATATACATATATGTATATATATATATACATATGCATACGTATTTGGGATTACCCCGATTGATCAGTAGGGATATTTGCTGCAGCTGTGAAAATGTCAGCGTTGCACAAATAAATCAATCTGTGAGCATCTATCACTTTATTGACTTGGTATTGGCTTGTTAGCCGCATTGTTTGTATTTGTCTAATGAGGTGAAGTCAACTGCGGTGACCGAAGGCAAGGTCCAGGGTATCCCGAAATGCACTGTTCAAATACATTGTATGCCCCCAGCAAATGGTATGGGGCTAATTATATTCAAACTTGTGTAATTACATTTTAGTTAATTTACATTTTAGACTTGGAACTTTAGCTGCTTGACATATGGGGTTCAACTGGATATTATTTGAAAAACAAATTTCTAAATTACAAAGTTTCAACTTTTGTAAATTCTTCATAAGTCGATAATTTTTTATATCTATACTGCTACGAGTGCATTTATGAAATTGGCTGAAACGGTTGTAAAATCATTTTCTATAATTATATGATTATAAAATATTTGTTTTGTCAGTTCAGTCACAGTCGTTGGAAGTTTTACAGCTTTACAACACAATATTTTGTTTACCCATTAACGATAGTGCCTAAAAATATGCAATGAAAATTATACAAGTAAACAATGGTCAATTAAAATATTGTCATTTAATATTGACAAAACATACACAAAAAAGATCTTTACTTTTGTTGGAATAACTTTATTTTATTGTATTTGTCCTAGCGGGAAAGTCGAATTCAGAATTGAGGAAAAACCTCTAATTGGCACGACTTGCTGTAATGTACTCAGACTGGTAGCCCGTGGTGCTTGTCTAGCCATGGTGGAGAGTGCCAAGAAGAGGACCAGTGCCAGTGCTGATCATCTAGCCTTTTTTAAGGACGAAAACTTAAGCCAGGAGAAAGCTGGTATTCCGATTTAAATTTAAATTATAATAGTTTACTTATTTTATTAATAAAAATAATATTTTCGCCGAAAAGATAACTTGGCAAATCTTCCCATTTTAGCGAACAAATCATATTCTGATTTTTAAAACTTTTAACCCTATATATTTATAATATATAAATACAAACCATATTTTTAAATGAACTTTTCAAATGTGACACTTTAGTGAAAAAAATCATGTATACTGATTTTTAAAACTTTTTATCCCAAATATTTGCAAAATTATATTACATATGCCCATACAATAAAATACTTTTCGGTTGTTTCCATATTTCTTTAATATAAATAATAAGCTTTTTACTCATGTTTTCCATAGTTTTTGAACTTGTCAGCTTAAACCACAACTTAACAAAGAAACCAATGCACAGATTAATAGACTGTTATACAAATAACTCTTAAATCTTTTCTCATTTTGCTCTATAACAAAATCCAAAAAAAAATAATGTTTTAACATTTACAAACCGAAAATGGGGTAACAAATATAATACGCACATAAGCCACATCGAACATTTACATAGAAATAATAAAAACGAACAGCAAAATAGTTATCTTATTTTCAAGTTGAAAAGTTGCTTACATTTTGTTTGCTTCTAATTCACAAATGGGGGCCCAAAGCCGAACTGATTGTCGTCACTTTCAGCTATTTTTGCACTTAAAGTCTAAAGCTATTCCTTGATAATGTTTTGTTGTTTTCGCAGCATCAGCATTTGTGCTAAATGTGTGTTTTGTTAAATGTTTTGTTTTTGTTTTTTTGTTTTTGTTTTGCAATTGGCTAGCTAACTACAACATCGCACTATATATAAGTGTTTACTATTAGACTTTTACAAAATATTGCAACAAACATTTTACTCTCTTTCTCTCTCTCTCTCTCTCTCTCTCTCTCTATCTCAGAATATACAAATAAACAAGCTACAAATAGTTTAACGTTTAAGTTTAAAGCAGGCTTAAGAGCATGTCTGTTGTCTTTTATCTTTATCGTTAGGTTGACGTCTCACAGTGTTACCCAAAATTGTCATATAAAAGTTAATGCCTAGTTCTGTGAGTGTATCGTCGTTATGTATAGGTATGTATAACTATAAGTTTATGCATATCATTTGTTGTAAGTGTGGGTGTATCTATGTATGTGTATGTATTCAATATATATATACCCTATCAGATAAAAATGATACCTGCTGCCAGTTTAGAATACGCCTCAATTGAGAAATGCAAATTGAGCCTACAAATATTTTTACAAAAAATATGTTCATTTATGGGTTAATATTATTGAAAATACACATATATAAAAATGTATAGCAACGTTTTTTTTTTGTTTTTTGTTTAGTGGTGCTGATGGTCTTTCTGGTGTAAGAGGTGGAGGTGGATGTCGTGGTAGTGGTGGTTGTGGAGGGAGTTAAGGTTCCCTGGTTCTGTTTTGCTTATGTAACGGCCACATCGGCCTATCATTATCATACACTGAACATTTGGCCTTTACAATGTATATGTATGTACGTATGTATATTATATATTTATCATAAATTATTAAAAACAAATAAGGGTCTTCTATTATTTGTTTTGATTTTGCAAATTTTGGTTACCAATGGTCATAATTGCCTTAATGCATTACTCATCTGCCGTTCGCCCGTTCTCGATTTGAATGCCTAGCTCTCAATTCCATTACATGCTAAACACTTAAAGTAAACATAATGAATATCATCGTAGTACGTCTTAGTAGTAGTTATTTGACTTTGCGCTGGTGCAGACTAGAGCTACTGCTGTCCGGATTCAAGATGGCACCATTGCTCGATAGTACGCCCTCCTTGAAGTAACCATCCTGAAAGGCCGACGCCGCATGACCATTGCTCTTCACATACTCTTCCTCCAAAACGGGCTGCAAGTGAGATAAGAGAGAGAACAATCAGAAGAGAGCATTATTGCGTAAGATTCGTCTTGGAAAGTACACGGTTGGCTCAAAGTTGGTATGCCAATGTGTGAAGTTTCTGACTTAGGCTGGGTAGAAACAATAAGGCATGCCTGGCACGCATTCCGGGTAATGAGGTAGTACCCCTTTCTGGTGTATTTAACCATATATCGACCATAGCATATATAAGGATAATTACTGGCAAGCTGCTCAGGAAAGCAGACATAGTGAAAAACTACTAGGCAGCTACGATATGAAATGTATTAGTGACTGTCGGAATACGCGTAAAGACTCGCTTCCGATAATAACAGGCTTCCTGACAGGACAGTGTGCGTATTCTGTCTTCCCGGCTAAAAGAAGACTGAGACTAGGAGCTATTGGCTTGCAAAGAAAAAACCAAAAATACACGTGTAGTGAGCAGGTGTCAAATAGTCAGAATTGGAGTCGCAAGCGCATGTTTAACGATTTAAAATGCGGAATCAGAAAGACCGTATCGGAACAAAAACAACGTATTGGAACATCAGCATATAGTCATTAGCCTTTCTCTTAAGGCAATAGACCCAAGAGAACGGATGCAGTGTACAGACTCCACAGCAATAATATTAATAATAAAAAGATTAATCTTTTACTTTAGCCTAGCACGTGTAAGCCAACGCCTTATACAACCCCCTATATATATATATATATATATATATATATCCCCTATATATATATATATATATATATATATAGATGTCGATGTAGAAAAACGAACAACTTTAAGCAAAAGTTCAAAGCGCTGTGTGCCTTCCTAATGGCTAGCAGCCGATATGATTGGGCCTTCGCATCCGGTTTCACATGTTCACTCTAATTGAAACGTCCCCCGCGTTATGTTGAGAGTTTGCAACTGCTGTGTGTGTGTGTGTGTATGGGTGTGTGTGCGCTGTTTGTTTAACTAAGCTAGTTAGAATTTTTAAGTTGATAGAAAAAAAAAAAAGCAACGATAATAAAACTATACAGACAAATATGAATATGTATGTATATATGACGTCTATGGCTGTATTGAGTGGTGCTTTTGGCGTCGCTATATTTGTTTAGACACGGCTAATAACTTTCAAGGGCTACTTGATTTAAGATCGCTTACCTACGAGTGTCGCCACACGCTTTACATTTTGAGACATGTTACGTTTGGCACAATCGGACTTGAAACTCACCATGCAGGCTCCCTTGTTGCCGCCATTCGTTAGCTGTGTATCGCCAGCATCAGCCATGTATTTGACTTTGCCATTTGTGTGCACACCATTCGTGTGACCGTTGGCCTTGATCGGCTCGCGTGGCCGACGATATTTGGCTTTGTAGAAGTCGGAGAACAGGAATAGGAACATGACGCCGTGCAGACCAATCCAGACCATAAAACCACTGGGATAGTCGCACTCGCGGAACAAAAGCTGGAACTGATGCGTGAATATGGCCACAAATTGCACCTGTAAAACATTCATACATTCATACATTATTCGATTATCGTTCACATTAGCATTGGCAATGCTAAATTGTATTTCATTTTCACACACCATTTGGAAGGTGGTCAGATATTTCTTCCACCAAATGAACTTCTGATATTTGGGACCCATTGCCGCGATCATGTAGTAGAAATACATCACAATATGTACAAACGAGTTGAGCAGGGCAAAGAATGTGCTGTGGCCGCCTGTAAATAGTGAATAGTGAATTAATTTTATTAACGTTATTCATTGAAGTTAACCATATTTAAACGTACCCGGTGCAAATTTGAGGCCCATCCATACCGAGAACGGCATGCAGCCATGGTGTATGACATGCAGCGTTGAAACGTGCTCGTTCTTCTTGCGCAGCACAAAGAAGAGCGTGTCAAAGAATTCTGTGAACTTTGATATGTAATACCACCAGCAGATATTCACCATCTAAATAGACAGACGATGACAGAGTATAAATAGAAATGTATTTGTGTATTCTGCATCTGTTTGAAACATACCCGCATTGCCATGGGGCTATTGCTGTAGTCCACAGGCTGGCACTTGAAACTGTAGTGACCCCACCAGCCGCTCATTAAGTACTGTCGAATAAAAAGTATGCTTTAGTTTGGCAAATGTGTCCAGCTATTGAGAGTGATCGTCCCGCAACTACCTCATAGAAAATCCACGCACTGAATATGGTCTGTATGGCATTGTAGTACACAAGCACCTTGCGCAGATCCATGGGCTTCCTATTTGCCATCAGTCTCGGACCCAGGGATTTGCTGAAGTACGCATAAAATACGCACATACAAAGCGTGGGCAGCGGCGATGAGGCCAGAAAGAAATTTTTAACGCGCGGATCTGTAAGTCCAACATGGATTAAATCTCGACAAGGTTTAAAATTGTTGCATCAGCATCTTTGCTTACCGCTTTTATTGTCCATTAGGTCCCTATACCAATGTATCACATCATGCATGAGAACATCCATTTTGTTGTTGTTGTTGTTGCTGTTGTTGCAGGTATTGCGGCTATTCTTATTGTTGCTGCTGCTGCTTCGGCAGTTGTTGTTGTCTCACTTTCCTCCTAAGCACTCACAATTTATAACGCGATATACCAACCTGATTGTATATATATATATTTAGAATTTTGATGTATGAGTATTAATATTGTGTAAATAACAAAAGAATAATTCGAAATGGTGCATTTAACAAATGAATTACGTTTCGGCAGTTGCTGCGTTAACAACTGCACTCATTGGTTAACAACATTTAAGCCGATTTTGTAAAAAAAAACGCATTCAAAAAAGTGCCGAACCATGAAATTCATCTAAGTCTAAAATATGAGAATTGTGAGTTTATGAAATATTAAGATTCATTAAAAAATATATATATATATATAACTTTGTTTTGTAATTTTGTAATCAGGGTTTTTTCGTACAATTTAGTGTAATTGCAATCAATTATTGATTGAAATACAGTATCGAAATTCTTATGAATAATGTGCATTCAAAGATATTGAATACAGAGAGAGAACAGTAAACTGTTTTTGCAACAACTAAGTGTAAGTGCAAGTAATTATTGATTTAAATATAGTATCGAGATTCTTATAAATAATGCGCATTCAATGATATTGACATTGATAATACAAAGAGAGAACAGTAAACTGTTTTTGCAACTATTTCGTGTAAGTACAAGCAATTATTGATTGAAATATAGTATCGAAACTCTTATGAATAATGTGCCTTCAGTGATATTGATATTGATAATACAGAGAGAGGACAGTTTAAAGTCCCCTGCCAGTAAACACGACAATTTAATTGCACATAATCAGGAACAGGGGAATAACAAAAACAACAACACCAGCAAACAAATTCCAATCTAATTTATGGTATTAAGATTGTGTGGATTTAATTATACATATTAATGGGTGTGAAAGGTGCGAGTACTCGTTGCAACATTTACTTGAGTAATTTGCATAATACACGGCAAAACAGTTATTTTGTGCTCGGCTCATTAAAATGAAAATGATTAGACAAGGACAGACACGTTGTGCGGGGCAGCAGCGGAAGCTGTGACCTCCGTCAATTAATGTGTAGTGGGTGGCGTTCACAAAACAAAGCCCGCCCGCCGTTCATTAATGCCCTTGTCCGAGCTCAATGCAAGCATTGCAATGCGCTTGGCCAAAGATGGGTCAGCTAGTTAAAAGCTCTTGGGCAAGAAATAAATATGCCTACATTAAATATATTATGCAATTTAAATTAATGCTGATCATTTCTGTAGATATATATAAATATCAAATGCCTTTGTTATATATTGCTCAAATGAACAACAAAATTTTGCAACTTTCGCCGCCTTTAGTTATAACTAAACATTTTAAATGTTTATCTGGCAAAAAAAAACAAAACAAAAAAACGATGGATAAATAGGATAGCACATTCAATAAATCAATTCATTGATTAATTTAAATAAAATAGATTCACGGTCGAATGCGCTAATGAATATGGCAAACAATGGATAGCTACAAAATGGCCAATTAAATCGTATTTCTCGGCTTTTTCGTTGACAGACAGACAGACAGACAGACAGACAGACAGACAAACAGACAAGAGCTAAAAAAGATTTCCATTCTCGAATAGCAGCGATTCTTCGACGAAAGCAACGTGTAAGATTCGTTGACTTCTCGACGACTCGGTAGCATCTGTTCGCCGTCCCATGACCGACGTCGACGTCGTCACCGTCGTCGTCGTCGTCGACTAATGCAAATTCAAAGGCAATGTACTCGTGTGCCTGCTGCTCGTGTCACAGGCAATGTGCTCGTGTCTGCTGCCTGCTGTCTGTGGACCACTTCAAGTTTGTTTTGAATGTCATGAATCATGATCAATGAATGGCAAGGCAAAGGTAAGCGAGGGGTAAGCGCCGCTTGCTCAATCGACGCCACAAACGTTGACAAAAATGTATCCACTGTGTAGTCTGTCTCTGGGTTGTTGCTGTCATTGCCACAGCTCAAGGCATTGTCGCAACTTGTTGCCGCCGTCGTGTTGTCTGGGTCAGTGGCAAGCATTTTGTGCAACAAGCACAGGCAGCACCAAAACAAAAAAAATACATAAGAAGAGCACCAGCATGCAATTCAATAAATTTTGGTTATTATGAAATATGAACGATACGTGGAATTGATGATGATGAGCACGGCCGACGTGTGTTCCGCTCCCCGGCCCGTTGACAGTTTGAATTGTCAAGGTAAACATTTGTGGGCTGTGGCACCGTAAATCGCAGTAGGCAACATACACATGTGAACAACATGTACGACAACTGCAAAACTCTAGTTGGCTTACATAATAAGCCAAGAAGAATTACAACTCAAAGTGGAGCAAACAAAAATTGGCAAACAAACGATGCGAAGAGAGGCGAGTCAAGGCAAAAATTGGTTGGCGGGTGTGCCATCGAGCATGCCACATGTTGTGTGGCCTGTCTTTTTGTTGTTGTTGTTGTTTTGGTTTTGGTTTTGTTTTTGTTTTTCCACAAGTACTTTGTCACTTGGCAAACAAGGGGCGACGTCATCATCATCATCATCATCATCATCATCATCATCATCATCATTGTCGTTGTCGTTGACGTTGTCGGCGCCGATGTAAACAATCAATGGGGCATGCAGCGACAAACGAACGCGACGCCCACAACACGCCGCTGCACGTTGCACGTTGCACGCGCTGCCAGACGCCTGTTGCTTCCGGCTACAGAGCAACACGGTCTAACACCAGAACAGCCGAGAACTGACTATGTTTCACTTTTCCGAGATGTGGAAATGGCTGTGAATGTGGCACACACGCCAATGTTAACATGCTGTGCAGTTGTTGTTTTTGTTGCATTTTCCCATAGTAATTAGAGCAATAAGCACAACTAAAAAGCACAATGAACACAAAAACATTGAGCTTAAAACACGAGCAGAAATAACTTTTTCAAGTTTGTTGATCTAATCGCGGCTAACGTTACATTAATCAAAGGGAGTGCTGCGAAGATGAGGGATTGGGGGGTGTTCTAAATTCAGTATTATTGGGTTACGAGAGCCCCATTGTGCCGCTTATCTGCCATAATCGCTCGTTTAGTTTAATTAAGCGCAAAATCGATGCACACACTACAACAACAACAACAACAGTAACAACAATAACAAGAGCAATAATAATAATTATAATAATTTGCGTGCTCAAGTGGCAATTGCAGCATGCTTAGCTTGTTTGCCTCATGACGCATGGAAACGGAAACGGTTAACCGTTAAGTCACCAGACGACCCAACGAGCATAAAATAGGTGTCAGCAATATTTCTTGCTAATCAGCTTATCAGATAGCAATAGCCGTAACGAGAGCGGCTGCCTTCCCTTATCGTTAGCAATTTTGGTTAAACCCAAGCCGCTGCCCGTTCTGACTCAGCTGTTTCGCTTAAGCAGGTGCGCCCCCAATAATTGGCCATAATCAACACTTATCAATGCCAATTGCCTGCCTTATAATATAGATTTTTATTTTATATTTTGTTCTTTTTTTTAATTTGTGGTTCACACTTAATTGGATTCGAGCATTGATAACACGATGGAATATAGAAAAATGTGACTAAGTCGCAGCTGGCAGTCAGAACTAGTCTGGACGATATTACTCATTTTGTGGAAGTGTTAAGATTAGATTAGCCAACAAACGCCCCAGTTACGGCAATATCTATATATATATACCGCTATTATTTTTTTTTTTTGGGGCGCCCTCTAATCACTAATCTATTTGGCAGGCGCGGCACGTTCGCGCACTTGGCGCGATTATACAATGTGAATTTCGTAGCTGAGTTACACATACGGAGCGGTACTTTTATACGGTTATACGGGGGTATACGGTTGGCTATACGGCTGGCTATACGGCTGTACGGATATACGTTTACAAGCTGCTCTTAAAAAGCTCGTTAGCTTGACCACGCGCCGGAGTTTTGTTATTATGTTGTTTCGTTATACTTTTTTTCTTTCTTAATATATGTATGTATGTATGCATGTAGATATATATATATATATATATGTATAAACTTTATTTGTTTTTGGAAAGTTGTTCGCTTTTCTAGTTATTATTTTTGGCTTGGCTTTAATTATGTATTTATGTTAGATATGTATATAAAGATTATAGTGTATAAGTATGTACGCATTTGGCTGTGTTTACGACGATTAGATAATCACAGCAACATTGGTCGCTCGCACATACACATACACATACACACACACACTAACACAGAGACAGACGCATACACACCGTGACAACAATAAACACTTGACTTGATTTTTGGTAACGTTTTCCCGTTTTGTTCACGCGATGCTTTAACTTGCGCGCTTCTAAGCCAACTGACGATTGAATGGATGCGCCTGTGACCCTTATCAGTCGACAGACGACAGCGACGCCGACGACGAATATCCGACAATAACGACGAAGCGACAGCCGAATCGATCAGCGAGTGCGCGCACGAGCAGACCGATTACATCGAACGACCGAGCTTAACGGCGAGGTGAATCATGCCCCGCCGAGTCACATACGAGAGAGTGTCAACGAACGCAACAGCGACAATTCTGCCGATAAAAGCCCAACAACTACAACACGAAGATAAAACAAAAAAAAAAAACAGAAACCAAAAATGCAAAATAAAATCAAAATAAAAATGCATACACTGAATCAATGTGTTCGCGAACGCTTATCGGTTATTGTTCTGTGTTGTTATGCATAAATTATTATTAAAAGGCTTAAGGCATAAAGACGACAATCGCTTGAGTCGCTTGAGCGGACGAAGCCGACCCGCTAGTTGAACCGTTGGCCAGCGTGCCAAAAATACAACTGAGCCAATGTTGGAAAAGACAGCTTGCTGACCAGCAAGTCAGTCAGCCAAACAGCCAGTCAGTCAGCCAAACAGTCGCTGTTTATGCTGAGTCGTGCTTGCATTGCAAAAGCGTTCACCGCTCGAAAGAGAAGAAAACTTTGCTTAACTCACACACACACACACACACTCACACACACACACACACACACACAGATATACCTAAGTATGTGTATATGTGTGTATATGAATTAAGGCATTTTGTGGCAAGTCGCCATCTTCTGCGGCA